TTGTACTCTGCATTTTCTCTCAGTCTTTTCACAGTGTAATTTGTGTCCTCTACACCTGCGCTTGGTGTGCATGTAATCCACTCATCATCTGTTGCTTCTTTCATCTCTACTACATATCCACTGATGGTGGCTCCTCCATCATAGATTGGTTTTGACCAAGTCAGAGACACAGTACTGCTAGAATAGTCTGTCATTTTGGGGTTGGTTGGTGGACCAGGTGGGTAAGTAGCTTCACATACTTTTATATATTCACTTGGATCACTGGGAGCACCCACACCAGCTGCGTTTTCTGCAAGTATTCTAAACTGGTAGTAATGCCCCTCTGTGAGCCCAGTACATCGGAAACGCAAATCATTTAGTCTTCTCTTGTTGCATTTAGTCCACCTGACACCCTCTTTGTCAAGTTTCTCCACAATGAAGCCATCAATCTCTGAACCTCCATCAGTCTCAGGCCTTTCCCATGTTAATGTTACAGAGTCACCGGTCACAGCTGTAGCTATAGGTGTAGAAGGTGTACTTGGTGGTGTGAAAGGATTTTGTGCAATTAAGGGGTCTGATTCCAAAAATTCACCAACACCATATTTGTTCACGGCAGCAATTCTGAATACATATTCTTTGCCAGGTACCAGTTTTGTTACTTTGTAACTGAGAGCTTCAACATGAGCTTCAACTCCTGTCCATGTAACACGACTGGTCTCCCTTTTTTCAATGATGTAATGAGAAACAGTTGCACCTCCATCATTTAAGGGGGGATTCCAGTGAAGACTGCATTTCTCTGCACTGATAACTTTTACCTTCAGTTGTCCATCAGGAGGACCAGGTCTATCCAGGACCTTCAAATTTACTGGGACAGAAGTAGTTCCACCAATGTTAGTGAGGCTTAAGAGAAAGTGTCCCCCATCTGCGCGTGTACAGTCCCTGATAGTCAGGGTTGTATGTGTGAGAGTGGTTTTGATCTCCATTCTTGGTGTGACTTTGTCGATTTCTCTTCCTTCTTTCAACCATGTTACTGCTGGAAGAGGCTTTCCAAAGTAATCAGCTTCAATGACGAATGTCTCTCCAGCCTGAACAACTGTAGTACTCTTGAACTTGGGATCAACTGATGCTGTGGGTCCTTCAATAACATCCTGTGCAATGATGGTTACACATTCTGAAGGTGGACTCCAAACACCAGCCCCATTCTTAGCAGTTACTCTAAATTCATAACTTTGTCCTCCTGTCAGACATGTGACTGTGAACTGATTCTCAATAACATTTGTAAAGTTTGCCTTCATCCACCTGCCATCTGGGAGCTCCTTTTTTTCTACTACATAGCCTGTAATACTGCTTCCACCATCATATTTGGGCTTTGCCCACTGGAGTGTAATGTTCTCTCTCGTAATGACAACGGCTTCAGGTTTACCAGGTGGATCACAGGGGTCTCTTGCCACATAGCATTCTGATATCCTGCTAGATGGGCTGAGCCCTGCAATATTTTCAGCAAAGGCTCTGAATTCATATTCAATACCTTCTTCAAGCCCACTTGTTTTGAAGCGAGCATCCGGTATAACAAATTTGTTAAGTTTGGTCCATAAAATGCTGTTCTTTTCTTTGCGTTCAAGGTGATAGCCAATGACAGGACTGCCTCCATCTCTGACTGGAGGCTCCCATTCAACCACCATGCTGTACTTTGTAACAGTGGAAACAAAGGGGGTGCCCGGGGCAGCAGGAACACTGAATGGATATTGTGCAACTACAATGGGTGATGTGATTGCAGTACTTTTTCCATATCTATTTTCTGCAAACACTCTGAATTGGTATTCACTTCCTGTCTTCAACTTGGTAACTTTGATTGTGGTTCTTACTGTAGTTGCAGAAACAGTCTGCCACTCCATACTTGTAGATTCCCGTTTCTCCACTACATAGTTGTCTAGTTGACAGCCTCCTGTGTATTCAGGTGGCTCCCAAGAGATGGTAACATAGTCTGAACTGACTTCATCAATCGTGACAGGTCCCGTGGGAGGGTCTGGCTTTTCAAGAACAACCACGGTGATTTCCCCTGTATATTTTCCAGCACTGTTGGCTGCAGTGACACAGTACTGACCAGAGTGCTCCCTGATAGCATGTCTGATATGAAGGACTGTTAATGACGGTGTGGTTGAAATCTCTAGCCTTGATGTCTCTTTTACTCCCTGGCCATCTTTTTTCCATTCAACTTTTGGTGCTGGGTTCCCCAAGACTGGGACCTCTACTTTTAACTCTTCACCATTCTTGACAGTGAATGTTGTAAAAGTAATCTGGAGTTTTGGCTTAATAGCATTTTCCTTATCTGTGATGGGGGTGGGTTGGACATTTGGGCTGATTTCTCCATTTTCTGCAGCAGAAGAAGGCTGGCCTGTAGTGCAGAATAACAAGCTATAATTACAATTTTATATACATATATACATATATATATATATATATATATATATATATATATATATATATATATATATATATATATATATATATATATATATATATATATATATATATATATATATATATATATATACACACACACATATATATATATATATACATATACATACATATACATATATATATATATATATACATATATATATACATATACATACATATATATACATATACATATACATATATATACATATACATATACATATATACATATACATATATATATACATGTATATATATACATATATATATACATGTATATATATACATATATATATATATACATATACATATACATATATATATATATACATATACATATACATATACATACATATACATATACATATACATATATACATATACATATACATATACATATATATATACATATATATATATATATATATATATATATATATATATATATATATATATGACTGGAAATGACATAGGTATCTCCTAAAAGATAATAAGACGATGTACAAGAGGCATCATTGGCATATTTCTCAGCTTTTATGTACAATTTGTATTGTACATTGAAGAAATGACAAAAATATATGTCTGAGGATTTTCTAAAACTAATCTACTGCTTTTACACTGTTAAAAACTAACACTGTGCTAGTTATTTAAGCTTATCTAAGGCATTTTAATCAACATATGAAACAAACTGATCTTGGGAGAAGCATCCTTCTTTTATATACTTCAATACAAAGACATGTTAATGGAATTTATTATTAATAATTTGTTGAACATTTTCTAACTTAACTTTATAACAAAGTACGAATACATGCAATCTATGCACCGCAGAGACAGGATGAATGTGCAACATACCTTCAACAATAACAGTGGAGGGTGACTGGGAAACCTCAGTATCCCGTGTCATGTCTATATTTAGAACGTGAGCTTCATCTTCTGCTTTCTTTCCTATCTATAAGAGAGAGGGGTAACTTTTAATGTTAGTGAAAATGAGATTAAATATATACATTTAAATAGGAAAATACATTTTACCTTGTTCCAAGATTATAATATTGATTTGGTTATTTGGTGGCTTAAAGTCTGTATTAAATTTGTTAAAGAAAGCCCTCTGAGTGAGTTTTAAACAAGAATAGAAAGTAGGCTATCTTGCTGAGTGAGATGTGTGTAACCGAAACACTTGAAGGTGTTAAAAATAACTACAGACATGGCCAACCAGACTGCCAACTGCTCTGACGAACACATTAAAGCTGTATTATTATTTAAGTCATGCAAACAACAACATGCACAGAAAAAAACAACTCAACTAAAAGGACATTTGAAGATCCCTAAATGCTTTCTGTACTATATTACAAAGACGTTTAAGATGACTTTCTTACCTCATTCTTGTTTTCTTCCATCGTTTCTCTTAGTTAAACTGAAAATTTAGATCCCTTGTTAATCAGTTTGTTGGTAAAGATGCCCAAAGTGCTGTGAGCCCCAAACGTTTAGGACACAGATACACAACTCTGCCAATCACTGCCTGCTTTATCTGCAAAAGCATTCAGTGACTAAAATAAGCATGGCGGTGGATTGGCCAGCTGCTCATTCTTTCAAAATTAGTTTAGCCTGCATGGCTCAGCTAGAGATAAATGGAAAACGTCTCATCACTTAAATATTGTCCACGTACCATTCCTGTTATAAGAGGGTTTTCCCTGTAACTTCATATTTAGGTATTAATACACACCTACAGGCAGGCAAAGAAAAGCTTAATAATCTTATTTTACTGACCTTTTCAATGTTCGTGACTGATAAATATTGTGGGTGTTTGACACTTTTTTTGGCTTCAGCTAAGATTTTTGTTGGATTAGAAATGAGTACAGTTCAGTTTGAACAGTTTGGAGACAAATTTAGAGAAGCAAGGCTGACATAGTTTGGAAATGTGTAGAGGAGGGTTGTACTGGACAAAGGATATTGAATATGGAGCTTCCAGGCAGGAGGAGAAAAGAAAGACCAGAGGGGAGGTACATATATGTAGTCAAACAGGACATAGGGCTGGTATGACAGAAGATGATTCTAGAGATAGAATGAGATGGAAGCAGGTGATCTGCTATACCGACCACAAAGGGAGCAGCCAAAAAAGAAGTATTAAAAAGGAAGAGGAAGCTTTAAACTTGGGTGTGCCAGGGAAAGTTTTAGATCCATTCTATTAAAGGTGTAGTGTGTAGAATATCACCACTAGATGTCAATAGATTGCAGATTGCAATCAACTGAGTTCTGTCTTCTTAACCATCCCAATTTAAGTGCATAATCCTAGCTATGGTGGCTGCTGTAGTGAGTGTAGGCTGTCAGTCCACTGTTTACCTTAGCTGTAAATATATGTCCATATCTATTTACTCTGGAGGAGGCTGTAAAACTGAAAGCTGATGTGAGCTGATGAGTCAGTGAAGCTCACTTCTGCCTGATGACAGCATTGCTGAGGTGAGTTGCTTAGGATATCCTGAACTTCCTGTCGGTAAGTGCTGCAGTTTTTTGCTGTTGATAGCTGCCGTCAACTGGCGTTATTGAAACTTTCTTTGAAGTGGATCTAACATTGTTGGACTCAAACACACAGCAAATAAACTCTAGTATGATGTGAAAATGTAATCAAACTGTTTAATAGAGGGAAAGAATTATTTTTTGGACACCTGAACCTAAAATTATCTGGCATAATGTTGGGTCATCATAACCAGCTGGTTGTTTAGCTGGCTCGTTGTTAGCTGTCCAGAGATGGGACAGTCGTACGTATGATCTGGTGACAATAAGAAATTGGGACAATATTAGGACTAAACAAGCATGTTTTCATGTATTAGAGGGATGACTTCAGTTTCGGAGATGAAGCTGGAGATGAGAAGGAACTGGTTGAGGTGGAAATGTGGAAGGAGGCATAGGAGTGGTGGAGGAGGAGGCAGATGAATGGGTTAACCTTATATGTGGCTGGTCTCTAACCACATACATAAAATTTGATTAGGCAGAATTGTGATGTCCATCTTGACCAAGAGGGCGGGCCATATACAAATAGCATAAACAAAAAAATAACATCAAATGTGTTTTTAAAAAAAAGTCAAATTGAGTCAACCCCTTAAAGGAGTGCCAAAGGCTTTAGCAAATAAATATGTTTTATAAACAGTTGTAAACTCGGGGCAGATCATTCCACAGTGATCTGCCAGTCCAAAGACATGCAGTTAATGGGGTAAGGTTAGTTGATAATTCTAGATTGCCCTCTGATCTGAATGTGAGTGTGGATGGTTGTCTGTCTCTATGTGTTAGTACCGTGGCTCTCGCCCTATGGTAGCTGGGATACAATTGGTAACAGAGAATGGAGAATATAAAAAAATGCACCGTTGATAGCTGAAGAAATCTATTTTTGTTGTTCTTTATAAAAACAAAAAATTGAATAGCCTATATTCACTGTTCCTTTAAATGAACAAGAGACACCTTGAGAAAAGGGCTTGTTTTACGTTAAACTTGCATGCATTTTTTAGTATGTTTTCCATTTGGGCATAAAATCCACAGATTTCTTTTCAGTAATGCAAAAATCACTTTGTCAGTAGTCTAAAAATACATTACAGTGGTACTAGCATAAAAATACAAATGTTAATACTATTATTTTAATGCTATATTAATATACTAAACTAACTAAACTAATTTGAAATGAGCGCTTTAGGTCTATGATTAGCTTCACAGAATCTTTTATTCTGAAACAAGGAGCCGGAAATGCACTAATACACACCAGCGAAGAAGAGCACGAAGCTAGCTTGCCAAGCTAACCGGTTGTAGACATCTGATTGAAGATGTAAACATGTATAAACCTTTCGATTGAATGGGAAAAATATTTAACCGTGTTGTTAACAGGCGTTTTAGCTGCTGTCGGTTTGTGATTTGACACGGTGTCAAATGTGAAGAGGTAAGGTCACTGTAAAATTCAATTCAATCATGCATGAATCATTAAAAGCCGTCCATTGAATGAAGTAAAATTGCTCTGTGAGGTGAATAGCAGGCTATACTGCCTCAGACACTAGTTTGATACCAGTGCACTGTCTGATAATAAAGCTGGAACTTTGTTCAAACTTTCCGCATGAAAATTACTTAATTAAGCCTCTGAGAACTGAACTTTTTGAAAGTTATACAATCACTTGTTTTAGCGTCCAGATGTTAATGTTTTTTCTAGTTTTCTTGTGTAACTATAGGTATTTCTATAGGTTTTTTGTTGGCATTGCCGGTGAAACAAACGTTATTTGCCAAATTATTGATATGACGTAAACTAAACATGCATACACGTGTCTGCCTGACCTAAATGACCGACCTCAGTGACTGTTATCAAATGTAATTCCTCTTGTTTCACTCATCAACAGATTCCAACATGTCCATCCAGTTTGTGTATAGCCATCAGCACTTCGTCACTGATGTGTATCGGATCAGTGGAAACAATTCCGCTAAAAACTCTGCATCAACAAAGTTTGACACCGCCATCCAAGGCGGCTGGGCAGACAGGATGGCACGGGGCATATTTCGCTACCATCTGGGGGATTTAAAAACGCGGGTCCTGCTGGGTTCTCATGGCTACGTGGCTCAGCTGAATATCCAAAGAGGAATAGAGAGAAGAAAGCCACAGGAGATCATGAGCATTAAGCAGGAGTTCAATGCCAAGCAGTTTAACTTTAACAAAATTAAACACGATGAAATCATATTTGAGATGATAAAGGACAAAAAAGGAGGTTCACCTTTGACTAACAATGCAGAGTGTCCTCAACCCCAGAAGATGGTTGTGTTGGTCAATGTTAGCCCTCTAGAGTTTGGACATTGTCTCTTTGTCCCAGATCCTGCTCACTGTCGCCCACAGATCCTGACAAAGTTTGCAATCCATGTCGGCATTGAAGCTGTGCTTCTGAGCTCTGATCCCGGTTTCCGTGTGGGGTTCAACAGTCTGGGAGCATTTGCATCTGTCAATCATTTACACCTCCATGGATATTACCTAGACCATCCCCTCAAGATAGAGTCTAAGCCAGTTAAACCTTTATGTCCTGAAAAGGGATTTTATCGAATTTTGGATTTCCCGGCAGGCTTTTTGTTTTATGCAGAATCAGAGGAGGTGGAGAAAGTGGCCCAAACTATCTGTGAAGTCACAGATTTTCTTGTGAATGATAATATTGCTCATAACCTCTTTTTGACTAGAGGAAGCCCGCCGTGTGTTCAAACGCAAGGTGAAAAGGATTTCTGTTCAAGAAAAGGTGTTCGCGTTGCTGTGTGGCCCAGAATATCCTGCTTCGGTGCCAAAGAGGAGTCTGCCTTTAATGTTGCTCTATGTGAACTGGCTGGACATTTACCCTTTAAGAGCAAAAAGGACTTTGAGCGCATGACAGAGAAAGATGTCGTTGATGTAATCCAGAGCTATCTTTTGCCTGAAGATGAGTTTCATCAGCTGGAACAGCAGCTTACTGAACATTTATTGTGTTCATAATGTGCGGTCATTTTCATCAACTTACAGCTGGGCTGGAAGGGTCTTAGACTTTTGATGGCATAAATGGATGAATCTGGCCTCTGGATTTTGAATTAAATTGTAAAAACTGCAATACTGTACTGAATGTGTGTCAGAATCTTCCCTGTACAATGAAAGAGATTACACATGTTGAGATTTATGATATTTACAAGATAAAATGTGCTTTAATTGGTTAATGAATGTGTTTTAGCAAAACTGATATCAAATAAAATGTGACTAAAGAATGGAGTTTTGTGTCTGTCTGTTTAATGAATTGCTGTTCTTAGCCAAGTTTAATCGGGTCAGGAGAAGCTCGGGTGTGGTGGCACAGAGCGATTGTGAATGCTATTTGTTACATGTGAGCATTTTATGTTTGGTGTAAAAGGAGCATGGTGATAGGATACATTTTTCCAAGCAAAGTATATAATAACAATAAGTGTCATTGGGTACAAAAGGTTTTGCATTGGTTCAATAGAAAGGAGCACATTACTGAGAATTAAGGGCTGTAAGTTCTGTGGAAATCAGGCATAGGGGCATTTTGAGATTTGGACATAATATTCTTGACATACTATATTCTTGTCTATTTGTAGTGAAAAGATGATCGTGCCTTATGTAAAAGCCAGCAGCTTGAAGGATGCATTTTGTCCTTGTGTTTTGGATACTGGGTATTTTCCACAGCTGTTATCCCAACACGTTCTCAATGTGACAAATCGTCAGCATGTTACGCTTTCAGTCACCCAACGCGTTCCTATGTTATTTAATGTTATTGGTAACATTACCTAAATAACTGTCACCTGACAGTTATCCTGGCTCCACCATAAATAAAACTGCACAACAAGCCCAAAGTTAGTTCACAGCTATTGTCAAATAACAACACTACATCGGGCATTATGAGTTTCAAAAACTCACTTCAGAAAGCCTGACAGTGGTTCTCAGATAAACATCAATGCTAGACATAATCTCTGAAGAGCAAATCATTTGCTAGAACGACATCACCAAGGTAGCAGCAGTAGCGAGAGGAGCTGTCTGCTCACCTGTTGTAATGAGGCTCCTCACTGGGGATCACTCAGTAGCACATTAATCTGTATGCTTGGCTGCCAACTTGCTCTTTTTCTCCTATAATGGTTCAAAATGGTTTGACAGTTTTAATATTTATTATATTTATTTAGCAGACAGGGCAAAGTATTTAAACAGATTAACGGGAGTTACTATAGTCCTTCTTTTGCTGGTCTATACCTGGATAAATGGGAACTTCGTGTTTAATCAGGAAAACATGTTTTTCACACAGATTATTTGCTGGGGGATTAATTAAAGATATTTGTTTGATTTGGTCTCGATCAGAGACAGAACTACAAGCTTTAAATAACATGCATTCCAATATTAAGCTATTGTTAGGTTATAGCAACACTATAGGAATTCCATATGTGGAAGACAACTAAAAAGGATATAGTGCTCATAACCTTGCTGAAAAAAATAAAGGCATTTTAATTTTATTTTGAAAAGACCTGAAGTTTTGGATATTTAATCCAAATTATTTGTTCCAGTTTACTGATTCTTTATTTTACTCCGCTTTCATTGTTTCTGAGCACTAAGTGCAATAAAATGTTTTAATGTGAAAGTGAAAGTGAAAATGTTCTCTATAATTTGCTTGTATGAACCAGAAAAATGCACAAAAAACTGGACATTTGTTTCAACCTTAAACCCAATGATGGCTGTTTCAATCAAACCTGTCATGTATCGTAGACATTATTTACAGTTCATCGAAACAGCCCTGAGCAAGGAGAGAAGAATGTCCCCTGTAGCCATCTAGAAATAAGAAAACATTAACTGCAAGTTCTGTACAAGCCTCTATTATTATTGAAAAGCTTCATTTGTTTTCCAAAAATTGGCTTTTTGTCCTAAGGAATAAGTTAATCTCGCTGTTATATTACATGCTAAGCAAACATAAAGCCTAACCAACGAAATTTAAGGAACAACGTTTTTGCAGATTATTTAGGATGTGAATAAAGTTTGATTTGGTTTGATCAAAATTTTAGTAAAAACTGAAAATATGCTAAAATCAAAATTCAAAATCTAGATATCACTGAAAAGAGTCGCATGTGACTTGCAATTTGTAGGGAGAGTCTGTGGGTGTGTCCTCAGAGTCCCATCTTGAAAAATGCTCAGACCTTTAAAGCGTCTGTCACTTTTGCAGAGAGCAGCTCAGCAGAATAATTCAGAATTCAGATAATAAGGCATTGAGATAAAAAAAAAAAACTAAAAAAACTATATACATATATGTTGTTGTTTTTTATTATTATTTTTATTTTTTAGAAAATCTATTTTAAGTAATCAAAAGCAATGGGAGCTTGTCAGAGCTTTAGGGAAATGTGTGATCGTGAAAAGAACACCAATGTTCATCTGAGTCTTCCAGCCGTTTGCATTGTGTGGCAGACTGCCATGATCATCTTGTTTGGGGTTTTTATGCGTTATGATCACGAGTCAGATGCGCACTGGGTAGAGCACAGAAAACATTCAAATTTAACAGACATTGAGAATGACTTCTACTTCAGATATCCAAGTAAGTAATTTCTTTATTTCTATCTTTCTTCACCAGTAAATTCTGTAATGTATCCATTTCTATGTACAATTAGATATTTGTTCTATAATTTTATCTCTGCTAGCAAATAGTTTTTTCCAGTCCAGTAAAAAGCTTCTGGTTGACTTACCAGTTTCAGACCTCATATTATGCTAACCTTACAAATTACCTTCACATTGCTGACAAAGATCTGACTCCTAGGTGAATTTTCCCCAAGGATTTGACTCCTCTAAGGCCTCGTCCTGTTAAAAAAAAAAAAAGAAAAAGAAGAAGCTTAATGTCCATACTAAGCAATAAAGTGTGTCTAATTTTGATAATATGTTTTGTTTAGATTATGAGATTTTAAAGATCATGTAACATGGGGGGATATATTGGATGTATGGTTGTGGAAACTCTACAACACAGCCCACAGTGTCAATGTCAGGCTAAGCCATCTGAGATGTGGTGTTGGATGTCAGATGAGAAGTTCTTTTCCTGATACACGTTAAAATTGGAGACTGAAAATACCCGGTTTTAAATTGATCAGTTTAACTGCAGGCAGTTTGCAAAATCTCAGGCTTTGCTGGCTATGTTAGTTCGAAGACAGAAAAAAAGAACTTGTGCTAAAACATTTGCAGCTTATTGTTTCACAGTGCAGTGGCACCTATTGCGCCTCACAACGTGTGAGACAGTTGCAGTGTTATGTTGTAAATAATGCTGCTGTGCATGCTGGTATCTATGTATCCTATTTGCTAGTCATGTCAGGTACTGCCTGTCTCATGATTAAAGAACACTTCTTCAAGTGTGTAGCTGTAAATATAATCTCTAGATTTTTATACTTTTAATCTTGATTGATCTGAACTTCTAAGACCTGACAGATTTTTTTTGGCTTAATTTAATGGAGTTATGCAATTCCTGACAATTTATTAAATATAACTAACTTTAGTTAGATAGATATATAAATAACCTAATTTTAAAAAAAACCCCAAAAACGTGTTGCTAGATCTACTTTAAATAATTACAATGATTTTGAGCAGGTGTTGTCCATACTTGCACTACAGACCCTCCAGATTCATGGAAACTGCCAAATCATCACTGTCATCGTTTTCCTGGTCTGCCCGTGTTACTTTTAAAGACATTTCCTGCAAACCCTAAGGGTTAGCACCTGCATAAGTAACTAGATGTAACTCTGCATCATCAAAACATGTCATCATCTAATCTGCAACAGTAAATACACACAGAGTCTTCGAGTCATCTTCACATTTTACCCCCTGTTATTTAATAAGCCCTCATGACTCCTGATGACATATTGTAAAAGTAAACTGCATGGTAGACAGAGCTCTGAAGGTGACAGTTTTTCCTCTAAATTCAAGAGTACACAATGTAACCTATAAAAGATCACAGGTTAATTAGTATCAGATTAAGAAAGAAAAAAGGACAACGATGGGTGTGATTAGCATTTTTGAAATCAAAAATATCTTTGCATACGATTTTATATAGTCACATTTAAAGCTCAGTTATTCTGAGAGAACGTGTACTTTAAATAGTACATACTTGGGGCAGAATCACCCCATTGCAAGAAGGTTGTGGGTTTGAATCCACCAGCCTGCATGCCCCCAGTTTGCATATGCTTCCTGTGTCTGCATGCGTTCCCTCTTGGTATTTTGGCTTCCCACAGTTCAAAGACATGCGTGTTAGTTTAACGGTGATTCTAAATTATCCTTATGTGCGAATGTGAATGGTTTTCTGTCTCCCTGTGTTTCACAGTGTGTGTGTCTCTGTCACAGCTGTGACAGGGAGTGGGGTGGCTCAGGTTGTAGAGCAGATCAGCTACTGATCGGAAGGTTCCTCAGCATACAAATATCCTTGGGCAAAATACTAACTCCAAATTACCCTCTGATGCATTCATCAGAGTGTGAATTAGTTGCACTTGAGTTTAGAAGTGCTTGTATGAGTGGGGGTGAATGAGGCATGTTGTATAGAGCGCTTTGAGTACTCCGGGAGAATAGAAAAGCACTATATAAGAATCAGTCCATTTACCATTCTATCCCAACTGAATGAACGAGCCGAAGAAAATGAATAGATCCATAACACATGCTTACTAAGACATAAAATATAGTCATGGTGCATGGAAGGCTGACTTGAAGTAAATGGATTACATGTAAAGTTTCCATGTAATTTTGTTACATAAGCACAATGTAAATGTTACATTTAATGGAATCTGGTCAAATGAAATTTACTGCATTTGGATACATGTAGAAATATCAAGCACATTTTACACAATGATTAATTATTAAAATAAATAAACCTTTGATTTATATATTTCACTTTTATATTAAAAATGCTAATTTGCTGTGCAAATCATCCCTAAATTGTTTAAAGCCAGGTTTTCTTTTTTATTCTTTTTTTTTCTAGTTTTGTCTACATGAGCCCTCTTTTAGATTTTCCGCTCTTTCCACAATTTTTGCATCAACCCTTCAGACACTTACTTTGTTTACTCTAGTTGTGTGTTGGCAGACTGTAAGTGACTATCCACAACATGAGTTTGAAAGTAAAAACGTTATAACCACTATGCCACCAAGCTGTCCCTACTACCATTCCTTTCCTTTTTTCTACTTCTATTCTGTACTGCTCTTCTAATCACATTTTTCTGTTAGGTTTCCAAGATGTCCATGTGATGATATTTGTTGGA